AAAAAAAAAGACAAAAAAAAGACAAGGAATAAAAAATAAAGCAGCAATACCAGACAGGGTGGGATTAACGAGCTGGGAAATGGGAACGTGAAAAAAAAAGACAAAAAAAAGACAAGGAATAAAAAATAAAGCAGCAATACCAGACAGGGTGGGATTAACGAGCTGGGAAATGGGAACGTGAAGGGAGAGACTGCGAGGAGYGTCCTCTGAGAGCCAGGATGGAGAGGAAACACAGGGAAGGGAGGGTTACTYGGTTATTTTGGACTCCCCCATAGCAGCACGTGGGTGGCTGGGAATTGGGTTAGAGCCGGGCAGGACGGACCAGGATCACCCATCCCCATCCCAGCCCAGCCAGAGGCTCTGTGTGACCCAAAGTGGCCTCCCAAGGTCACCCCTCCGAGGTGTCACAAGGATTTGRCCTCGGTCACCCACCGTACCGTGGGGGGAGGTGACCCTCTGCCGATGAGGGGCACGTTCTCATAGCGGGGGTTCCCTCCAAAGAGCACAGCCTGGTTCCTGTGGGGACAGCGAAACCCCGTCACCCCCTGCACCCCRCACAGCTCCCTGCCCGCGGCGGGGGCGCGGGGGTCTCACATGTACTCGGAGACGGGCGCGTTGGACACGGTCTGAGCCGGCGGSTGCAGGCTGCTCTGGCTGCCCAGGCTGCTGCTGTAGCTGCAGAAGCTGCGCAGTTGTCCCCGCGGCGGGCGGTGCGTGGCCATGCGCCGCGCCTGCGGGTTGAACGGGTCCTCCTCGTCCATGTCGTCGTAGTCCCGGTCCCTGCGGGGACAAAGCGCTGGCACTCACACCGTGGCTGTCACAAATGGGCTGTGCAGGTGGTTCTGTGCCCACAGCCGGGGCAGGGGGCTCTTTGGGCACACGCACCGCCCGGCCAGYTGCCTCCAGGCGCGCGGGGCCGCGCAGATGACGGTGGAGAAGGCGGCGGCCGCCAGCAGGGAGAAGAGCCCGAGGTAGAGCAGCCCYTCCACGCCGTCATAGCAGATCCCGATGAGGCCGTCCAGGTAATCCTGGCAGGACACAAGCAGGGCAGCGCTGGTGGCACCGCAGGGGGACCCCAGAGCTGGGTCCCATGGGCTCCCCTCACCTTGTGCAGCCCCCGGCAGTCCAGCAGGGCCGTCAGCTGGTGCAGGCTGGTCTCTGAGGAGTTGAGCAGCTGCTGGGCCCCCAGCAGATCTTTCTGCAGGAAAAGGGGGGGTCAGGCAGCGCTGGGGAGCACAGGGGGATGTGCAGACCCATGGTTGCCCCTCCTGTACCTCAGCTGTTGGGAAGAGGGGCAGCGCGTACTGGATGAGCCCCTGGATCTGGATCTGCATGGTGGTCAGCGAGCGCTGGAACACAGTGAGAGCCTGCGGGGGAGAGCGGGGACAGTCACAGACCCCCCACCCCCAGGACCCCTCCCCAGCCCCACGGGGGATGCCCAGCCCCCCTGTACCTGCTGGAAGGGGCTGCTCAGGCTCTGGTCACAGTACAGGTAATAATGAACCACCTCTGCCGGGAGAAGGGGAACATCATCAGCAGCAGCATCCCGAGGCACAGGGAGCCGTGGGGGGACAATGGCAGTGGGGACACCCAACCCCTGGGTGGGTTTTAGGGTCCTGCCCGAGCTCATCTCCACCCCACAGCCAGCTCTCACCTGCGCTGATCACATCGTCCGTCTGGTTCATGATGAACTTGTCCGGGGCCACGCAGAAGTCGCTGGTGCCCTGCAGGGACAGAGGGACAGAGGGACATCCTCGGTGCCCACAGCGCTCGGCACAGCCCTGGCACAGCCCCTGGCAGCCCTTCCCTCTCCTCCTGCCCCACTCACCACCGCGGCCGCCGTGTCCACGGCCATGGAGGCCCAGCTGAGGACRAGCATGAGCAGCCCACAGCACAGCATCCTGCGGGGAGAGCGGGCAGCACGAGTGGGCAGCATGGGTTGGGGTCCCCGTCAGCCCCCCAAGGCCATCCCCAGGGTACTCACATGACCAGGAGGCAGCGGGAATGCTTGGCCAGCCCCAGGCAGGCCAGCAGGCAGACGGTGAGGACGAGGATGAAGAAGAGCAGGTATGCCAACCACCTGGGTGCAGAGGAGAGCTCTGTCACACACAGGCACGTCCCCAGCCCTGCCGGGATGTGTCCCCTGCTCCCGGTACCACTCGRGCTCACCGGTAATACTCGATGTAGGCCACCTGTCCTGACAGCTCGGTGAGGTCAGCACTGACACCCCGCCAGGCCGGCAGCCCCTGGAGCTGCAGGACGATGCTGCCAGCCAGCTGCTGGGTGAACTTGAGGGTCTGCACGTAATCCCCCCGYGAGGCCAGCAGCTCGTTCAGCCGTGCCAGGTGCTGCTCCAGCGCTCCCTGCATCTGCAGCGTGGTGCTGGCAACCTGCAGTGACCCAAAATGGTCAGTCCCTGGGATGGTCAGCCCCCCAAAATGGTCAGCCCCCCACCAGACCCATATGCCCCATCCCTGGAGAGCGGTCCCACCCCAACCCTCTGTGCCCAAGCCGGAGCCATCCCTCAGAACAGCCCCGCCACGGCCCCCCCAGCCCTGCCAGGCCACAAAGGTCCCATTCTGTGGGGTGACGTCACCTTCCCGCACTCAGCACAGCACAGCCACCCCGGGGGCTCAGCCAGAGCGGCCGGACATCCCTCCCTGGTGCTTTAACCAAACMCAGAACCCGGGACTGATTCCTCCTGGAGGGGCAGTACCAGGGAGTCGATGCCAGTGAGGGTCTGGTTGGCGTGGTCCAGGGCGTAGAGCAGCTGGAAAACCCCATCGTTGGTCTCGCTGTTCCCATAAAAGCCGATGCCAACGGCCGCGCTGTGGGCAGAGAGGGGACCCCGGTGAGAGGGGAGGGACACGCTCACCCTGTGACACCGGCTGGGCAGGGGACACTCCCTGGAGCATCCCGGTTTTGGGGGACAGCCCATCAATGGCAGGGACAGGGACAGCACCAGGATGGGAACCTGCTGCTGTTGGTGACAGGGCCCTGGGGACGGCCGGAGCTGCTCCATGGACACAGGGCAGGACGGAAACTCCTCCTGCCAAACCCGGAAAGATTGAGGGTGGAGGGGCTGGGCCCAGATTAGGGGAATCCACTGCAAGCACAGTGGGTCCCGATTAAACCCTGGGCTGGGAGCTGAAGCAGCTCCAGCATCTGAGCTCTCTACAGATGCTGCAGAACTCCCCACGGAGCCGGGATGGAGCTCGGAGCTGGCCCCGAGGAGGGAGGTGCCCGTGGCTGTGTCCTGGCCGGGCATGTGCCCACATGTGGCCGGAGCTGGCCAGACCCCCACAGACACCGGCCCACTAATGGCCACCATTAGCCTTTGAACAGGCTGCTCAAAGTGGGGCTCAAAGCCCGCGGGAGCTGCAGAGTGACCCCGTGCCGCAGTGTGGGGAGCACACTGAGCTCATCAGCGCGTTTCCCATWTCCCCGATTCCCCGCTCCGTGTGAGGCTCGCAGGCAGCCATCTCACTCCGCCCCGGCAGAGCGGCCCCTTTGTCTGGATCTGGAGCGAGGGTCGTGGCCAGGCAGCCACAGGGGCCCGTGGCCCRTCCTGTCCCCCACAGGCCAGGAATCCCGGGGGACACTCGGGATGGCTGCTGGGTGGTCCTYCCAGCCACGGGCTGCTCCGAACGGTACTGGGTGGGGAAACACCCCCTTGTCTAATTGTTGTGGCTGCAATTAAGGCCGGGCACAAGGGACCTGCCAGCTGGGTCACGCTGCTGCCCGCCATCTGCTCCGGGCTGGGATTAGCGACCAGCCCCGCTCCCGCCCGGGATTAGCCAGGAAGGCGGCACAGCCGTGACGGGGACAGGGCTGGCCCGCAGCTGGTCCCTGGAGCTGCCCCAGCAGCTGCACGGGAGGAGGCAGGGATGGAGCACATTTAATCGAACAGATCTAATTAAAGCGACTCGTGGCTGGAGCTTCGAGTCGCCTCAGTGACGGGTGGGGGACAGCRCCGGGTCCCTGTCCCCTCCTCACCAGCAGATGAGCCCGGCGGTGACGGCCATCCAGGTCACACAGCACGACTSGGGCCGCTTGCTCTCGGGCTCCTGGTCCCTCTTGCAGCAGCACAGGCAGATCAGGTACACGGTCAGGAAGAGGAGGTTGAGGCCGAGGCACACGGCGGCCACCAAGCCCAGGAACAGCAGCGACTGGGAAAGAGAGAGGGGACAGTCGGCGGCAGTGCCCGTGACCCGCTCCCGGGATGCGGCCGCGCTCAGCGCCCCACGGGACCATCACGTGGGGAAGAGGAAGTGTCCCCGTCCCTGTCCCTGTCCCYGTCCCCATCCCTGTCCYCGTCCCCACGCAGGGCCGCCAAGCCGCGGTCGCTGAGCCGGCGGTGCAGCCGCCCCTTTGCCGGGATGTTGTGGCACCGGGACACCGGCGCTGTCCCCCCCGCCCCATTTAGCGGTAACGGCGGACCGTGCCCCGGGATGCCGGGGGACCACGGCGGGTCCGGGAGCGACGGGCGGGGGCTCAGGAGGACCAAAGGAAGCGGTGAAGCCGGGAGGGGAGCGGCGGGGCCGGGGGTGCCGGTGCCGGCTGGCCCGGGGGGGGCCGGGCGATGAAAGGCGCTTTGTGCGCCGTGAGATCAGAGCTGGCGCCGGGCGCCGCCGGGGAACGGAGCGGGGACCGCGGGGCGAGCGGGACCCTGCCCGGGGAGGGGCCGGGGGGCGCGGGGGTCCCGGGCCGGTACCTGCTGGTAGTCGGGGTCCTGCGGGCGGAAGGTGGCGGGCACGGGCTGCAGGCGCGGGCCGCGGTGCGGGAGC